TCTCTATTGGTATAGATAAGGATTACATATTTGGATTTATGATGCAATAAAATAATTTAATTTACGTAAAAAATATCCATAAGATTTATATTAATTTATTTATAAATTTAAATTACTTAATTTAAATGAATATAACAATTTACGGTTACCAACTTATGTATACATAAAATAATAATAGATATGTAAAAATTATCATACGATCCAAAAATTGTATTAATTAAGATTACATCTGTCTGTTAAAAGAGCCTTGTTCGCTGAAGGGCTGTGCTGTCACTTATCATAGTAGAGAATGTCTTTCTGAATTATAATGAGCTCGCCTCCGTAGTGTTCTGCAGATTTTATCACTTTTTATCATGTTATATATAATAAAAAAAAGAAGATTTAGATTTAGAGATATTTAATAGTGTAAATGTAACAAAATCTACCAAAATACAAGGATTTATTATTAGGCGATCTATACGCGTGCAACACGATTTGGATCCGTGACTACATTGATGTTAATTGCGATATTAGATGTTACTTTACCGAGTACTTTGCGGTAAGGAAAATATCGTATTAATACGCCAAGTAGTTGCCAGTAGCTTGCGAGCTACCACTACTCCTGATCCAACATCGAAATTTGGTAAAATTCCACTGCTGGTCATGAGCCTCTCCCATCTGCAGTATAATTTCTATAATTCTACTGCAAATAGCTGTTATATATGCGGGAGAGCCATGCTACAGCTATTAGTAGTATAGTTGTAGCACGAATGGGTCGGCTCGACTGGGAAAGGACCACGCTCTCACAGAATAATAGCAGCTTAACGCCGCTGTGTTTCGTATGGTGAGTGTAGAGAACCGGAGACCCTTTTTACTGAAAACGAGGCATTTCATCTTAGTTCTCACGGGTGACAACGCATCTGCATTTTAATTCGCAAACGAAGATAGATGTAGATGTCTGTGGGCCACAGCAACCACTTACCATCAGGTGGACTGTGTGCTCGTTTGTCACCCTTATCCTATAATAATTAAAAATTAAAAATTTTGTACAACCAAATAAATTATTAGGAATAACTCAAAACTATTAGTTGGACTTTGATCAAATTTATATGGGACCACATGTGAAGCACCAGCTTTCAAATAAAAAAGAATCATCGAAATCGGTTCATCGGTTCATCCAGCAAAAAGTTATGAGGTACACACATAAAAAACATACAGTCGAATTGAGTACCGTCTCCTTTTGAAGTTCTTCTGGTCTACCTGACCCATAGATGGGCGGAGGCAGTAGAGTCCAAGGGGGAGGCGTTGGCCGTTAGTCTGGACATTGCGAAGACCTTCGATCGGGTTTGGCACAAAGCGCTTCTTTCGAAGCTCCCTTCCTATGGGCTTCCCGAGAAATTGTGCAATTGGATCACCAGCTTCCTTGTAGATCGGAGCATCAAGGTCGTTGTAGACGGTGCATGCTCTGACTACAAGCCTATTAACGCTGGTGTTCCACAAGGCTGTGTGCTATCACCAACGCTGTTTCTTCTGCATATCAATGATATGTTGCTAACTGGTAACATTCATTGCTATGCGGATGACAGCACTGGTGATGCTCTATACACCGGCTGTGCCAATATTTCTCGGGAAAACGTCGCTGAGTACCGGAACAAACTTGTGTCTGAAGTCGAGTCTCTGCTGAACAAAGTCTCGGATTGGGGGCGACTAAATCTAGTCCAATTTAATCCTCAGAAGACACAAGTTTGCGCGTTTACCGCTAAAAAGAACCCCTTTGTCTTATCTCCTCAGTTTCAAGGCACTCCCCTTCTTGCCTCAGCCAGTATCGGTATCCTCGGAGTCGACATATCGAGTGACGTGCAGTTTCGTGGTCACTCGGAAGGGAAGGCCAAATTGGCCTCTAAAAAGCTTGGCGTGCTCAGCAGAGCGGGACAGTATTTCATGCCGGCACACCGCCTGCTACTTTACAAGGCGCAAGTTCGGCCTCACATGGAATACTGTTCCCATCTCTGGGCAGGGGCTCCCCAGTGCCAGCTCCTTCCACTTGACCGCATCCAACGCAGAGCGGCTCGAATTGTCGACGACCAAGCCCTTTCCGATCGGCTCGATTCATTGGCACTGCGAAGAGATGTTGCATCCCTTTGCATTTTCTTTCGCATCTACCATGGGGAGTGCTCTGAGGAATTGTTCGGATTAATCCCAGCCGCCAAATTTCACGAACGCACATCGCGGCAGAACTCCCGATACCATCCACACCATCTGGATGATTGGCGGTCCACCACTGTGCGATTTAGAAGATGTTTTCTTCCTCGCACGACCTCCTTGTGGAATCGATTACCATCAGCGATTTTTCCGGACCGATACGACTTAGGGACCTTCAAGAAAAGAGCGTACTCCTTTTTAAAAGGCCGGCAACGCATCTGCGATTCCCCTGGTGTTGCAGTTGTTCATGGGCGGCGGTAGTCACTTACCATCAGGTGAGCCGCATGCTCGTTTGCCCCCTCTCCTATAAAAAAAAAAAAAAATTGCCACGCAAAATTGGCAGGTGGATTGGCATTAGCAATACCAGATGTAACAAACCTATGACACAGCTCCTTGTCACAGGTCTGGTCGTTTTACGTGTAAAAATATGAATGGTAATCCCTAAAATTATATTGAAATCCAAAAGTCATACGTTTCTCTGGCGTTTCTTCTAGTCCCCTCTTACGACCCTAGCAAGAAATAAGGTAATGAATTTTGCACTACACGACTTTACCACACATGTATCTCAGTTATTTTATTAATGATAAATATTATCTATGTCTCATTACAAATCTATACATATAAATAAAATTGAAGTGTCTGTGTAATTATATCGAAGTAACTGTCTCATATTGAGCTGAGGAAACTTTTGTTCCTCTGTTTATCTGATTTACCATGTGCTCGGCGGTGAAGGAAAACATCGTGAGGAAACCGGCATGTCTGAGAAATAAGATAAAAAAATATTTCGAATACATGTGAAGTTCGCCAAACACGCATTGGCGACAGGCAACAGCGCGGCGGATATTTCCTTGCCCTAAAACCCACTCAGAAATGAGACTCAATGGGTCGTATACGTATAAGTCGTATATAAGACTCTGTCTGTCTGTCTGGGCTGTGTGATAAAACTTTATAATAGATAGAGAGCCATACCAAGAGGGATCTAGGTGACATTTTATCAAAAAGACTTGGAGATTTTTTTGAAAAAGAAAAATAATGGTCTTTGATTATCATAAATCTAAATAACGCCACATTAGTAAATCCTACCCAGGCAAAGTCGGGGCATGACGCTTGTATTAAATATAATTATATTTGTTTTACGTACAACTAAGTCTATATTCATAAAGACGTATATTGTGAAAACATAGGCATATCTATTCAAGAGATCCTTAGTACGAGTAATTTTAATAACTCCCTGTACCTTGTTTATTTACATTTATATATTATGTAAATGTAAATATTTTATAGTTCCAACAGAATATCAAATTGATATTTGAAAGCCATGCTTGCTTTTAGTAAATTGCTTTTAGTCCAAATAGTACCTACTCGGCGTTTTTCTGTATTTTTGTTTCGGGCGTATAATGTTGTATCCAAGTTTCATCTACAGTAATTAATCGGCGCCAAAACTCGGTTATTTATTGCGCCTAAACTGCGCCAACAGAGCGTTGGAAATGTTCATTCGAACACGTTTTTGGTCTAACGTGAGCAAACGCGGCACCCAACGCGCTGATAGCTTTCTCATCCCTAAATCTTGATTTAATATGTGACAAACACGTTCTTTGGACATTTTCATAGCCTCTGTTATCTCTTTCTCTTTAATTCGGCGGTTGTCTAGCACTATTGGGTGAACGCTTTTATACGTGGTGGAGCTATGCTGCAGCTATATTAGTAGTATAGTTGTAGCACGAATGGTTCGGATCGACTGGGGAAGGACCACGCTTTCACAGAATACCAGCGTAAAATAGCAGCTTAACACTGATGTGTTTCGTACGGTGAGTGTAGTGAACCGGAGACCCTTTTTACTGGAAAAGAGACATTCCATCTTAGTCATCACGAGTGACAACGCATCTGCATTTTTATTCGCAATCGAGGATAGATGTAGATGTCTATGGGCCACAGCAACCACTTACCATCAGGTGGACTGTTTACTCGTTTGTCACCCTATCCTATAAAAAATCTTATCGTCAATAGTTGCAGTTTTTGGACGTCCCTAACGTTCCCAAGCTCTCACGGCCATGTTTAAATTCAGCTGCCTAAAACTTTACTGTGGTAAATGATAGTGCAGAGTACCCCCATACACAGAATCTAACTCATCTTTGATTTGCGTAGGCGTACTGCCTTACAAAAACGAAAATTTAATAAAAGCTCGATACACAATTTTTTCCATTTTCACAAAACCACTCACATCGACTCACTCATACGACTACCAATTAAAAACTACGCGTCCAAAATGGCTGAAATTTTAGTGCGTAACTGCATTCACCAGATTTTTTTGACGATTACTGCCAGCTTCACGTTTAGGTCGGAAACTTTTCAGATCACCCTGGTATCTTCTCTGTATATAAAAATAAATAGCTGCCTCGCTGGCTCGATCGATTCTGATGAAATGTTCTGTGTGTGTTTGAGTGGGTCCTTGAATGATTTAGTTTTGAAATTGAACCCGGTAGGTGGAGCTGTTGTCAAAATCCAGAATTCACCCGTACGAAGCCGGGACGGATCGCTAGTACCTGATAAAATGATATTGATATCAAATAATAATAATAAGTTAGCGTATTTTGAGATTATGATGAAGTTAAATGGTGAAATTGCTTTATATTGACGATGGAAATAAAACAAAATACTTAAACTTTATTTAAATATTATATTTATACACAATGGTTCTGACATCTTTTTCTTCTTTGAAGAAGTTTCAACGGTGTAGTTACTTAGCGTGTTTTTCTGACCTTAAGTTGATTTTAGTTTATGTTTAGTAATTTTATTATTAATAGACATCATCAATCATGCTATTTTGTGAATATTTTTTCCACAGGCCAAAATAACAAGCAAGGCAAACAACATACTATTAATGCGTAGAAAGCTGGAACATAATCTTCGTATACGTCTTTTACCAAACCTGTGAACAAAGTATTACATTATATACTATGAATTTGTTCTAGTAAAAAAAATATGATATTATATTAAGAGTTATCTAGATTTTGTTTGACTTCGAGGTTTACCTATATCGAAAAGATACCAATGTATAAGTTCTAACGATTGGATCGATTTTTAAAAGCGGAAAACCATAGGCACTTTTAATTTTTAATGATACACTTTTCATTTTAAGTTTTTGCTGCGGTTGTTAATTTAGAGTTTACATTAGCCTATTTTATAACTTCAAATCTGAACAGATTTCGAAATTTTTACATATTCACAGTTCCAAATGCAATAGTGTATAAACCACCCATCCATCCATTACAGCCTATAAAAGTTTACTGATGAACATAGGCCTCCCCCATAGATTGCAATAGTTGCCATGATTGGCAAGCGGGTTGGCAACCGCGGCTTTTTATTATTTTGAGTTGTTAGCAGAAAAATGCTGGCATGCCTATTTCCTGTTTCACTTTCTTCCTGTCGTCTCTTATGACACCGACGGGATGATAATATGTTTTAGTGGATATTTTTTCAGCATTACTACAAGGTATGAACATTAAAATGATATCAGAAACTGGGATATTTCAATGTGTTACTTTACAAATTTATGTATTTATTTTTCTTGTCACCTTACCGATAAATGGTGCGAATATAACATTAACTAATCCAGCAGCAAGCATGTTCAAGGCGTAAGCTCCAGGAAAATCCTGATGAGAAACATAGTCGGAGACTACGAGTGGACTGGCTACGTGGAGAAAGGCGCGAAGTACTCCCAAAGCAGCAGTTACAACAGCGACAAAAACAAACTGGCGGACTTGTAACATAACTAAAATAAATGAGATGTTTTAAAAGTTAAGTACTAACAATATGTGACATTTTGAATTTTATTAAGATAAAAGTAATGTAAAGTTATAGCCTACAGGCTACTACGTGTCACTGTTGCGCCCAGGCCTCCTCTCACTTCTGAGAGGGTTTTAGTGCAAGAAAGTGTTCGCTGAGCTGCCCAATGCGATATGCGATAATAATTTTAGATTTCATACATTAGTTTTTGTAAATGCTTATTATATAGTCAGAGTGATATGCGGCTTGTAATAATGTAAGGCAATTTAATTGCCGCCCTAAGTAATATAATGTATTTATGAGAATGATTTTAGATAATTGACGTTATTGTCTTCTCTATAAAGGTCTATTTTACAAAACACTAATTGTGGATTAGGACACTATTTGACGATTCCTTACTGCAAACACGCACGCGACGCTCGCGATGTCACAAAATTTTGAAAAGTGTTTGTTATAATATGGTGATGTATATTTTTGCATTTACTTTTTTCATTTTTAGGAAGTTAATAAAACGTGCTATTTATTTTAATTTATGTTATTTGTCAAAAACATTAGTCAAGCTCATAATGTGCTATTATATGCTTTATTTAATCTATTGTATATTATAATAACAGTTTGTATCTGTCACCACATAGATGTTAAGATTCAATGTTAAGATTCACTGCGTGTTTTTTTTTTATAGGAGAGGGGGCAAACGAGCATGCGGCTCACCTGATGCTAAGTGACTACCGCCGCCCATGAACAACCGCAACACCAGGGGAATCGCAGATGCGTTGCCGGCCTTTTAAAAAGGAGTACGCTCTTTTCTTGAAGGTCCCTAAGTCGTATCGGTCCGGAAAAATCGCTGATGGTAATAGATTCCACAAAGAGGTCGTGCGAGGAAGAAAACATCTTCTAAATCGCACAGTGGTGGACCGCCAATCATCCAGATGGTGTGGATGGTATCGGGAGTTCTGCCGCGATGTGCGTTCGTGAAATTTGGCGGCTGGGATTAATCCAAACAATTCCTCAGAGCACTCCCCATGGTAGATGCGAAAGAAAATGCAAAGGGATGCAACATCTGTTGAGATAATAATACAGTTAAAAAGTTTTTTCAGTATTTTTCATCATTCCGTAATATTCCACAGCTGGACTTCACCTATTCCATTGTAGAGAGCATTTGCTATAATCGCTACGCTTAGCTAGTGTCTTAAAGATCGCAGATCTAAGCGTCTCGTACTTTTGAAGCTGCCACCTAGAGCCTATTTGGATATTTTAAGATCGGCGTAAGCATTCCTAAAACAAAAAAATACAAAGGGCGGACTTAATGCCTTGAGGCATTCTCTGCCAGTCAATCCATAATCCATACCGCTATTCCGCCATCTATCAGAAATCATAGGAACTTTCTGGGATATCTTATAAATAGTGTTTTTTTAACGATACCCACAGGACGAAATGAGGTGATGTGATTTTACGCTACCACCTCATTGCAACTTAAGATGTAACAAAAATATTAGCTACTTAAACTCCAAACAAAATTTTTCCTTAAGAAATTTGGTTCATGAGCACCTAGATGTAAATAAAAGAATATATGGCGTGTTGCCCGCTAAAACAAGCGCGTGTCCATATTTGTTCCATAGAGCCGGAAGTTTGAGCACGATCGTGGCGACGTCGTGACGGCATTGAGGCAATCCGCGTTGAGTTTATTGCCCGCGCTGTGACTCTGACACAATTCTGTTCCGATTTTCCCTTGAGACCATCTTAGCAGTGGACGTATTCTCTTAATAGTTTTCAACTTATCTCAGTAATGCATAATGATTAAAACATGACATTTTATGTAGAAGCGCGACAGGCTCTTCTGCCCTATAAGCCTTACAGAAATCGGAAGAGGCCGCGACAGTGAGAGTATGTGTACGGACTCGCCTATCCTGTGTTGTTGGTAGTATAGTTGTAGCACGAATCGGTCGGCTCGACCGGGGAAGGACCACGCTCTCACAGAATAACAGCGTAAAATAGCAGCTTAACGCTGCTGTGTTTCGTATGGTGAGTGTAGAGAACCGGAGACCCTGTTTACTGGTAAAGAGGCATTCCATCTTAGTCCTCACGGGTGACAACGCATCTGAATTTTGATTCGCAAACGAGGATAAATGTAGATGTCTATGGGCCACAGCAACCACTTACCATCAGGTGGACTGTGTACTCGTTTGTCACCCTATCCTATAAAAAACCACCCTCTCATTATTTCTGCTGCCAAATAGCTATGCTTGTACTGCTATGTTCCGGTATGCAGGGTTTAGACAGCCAGTAATTACAGGCGATACATCTTAATCCTCAGGAGTGACAACGCATCTGAAGGCTTCTTTGCTTGAAGTTACCTGCAAGTTTCTTTTTTTATAGAAAAACGGTGATAAAAGTGTACACGTTTCACCTGATGGCAAGTGGATGTTGTGGCTCATAGACATCTAAATTTATCCTCGGTTAAAAATCAAAATGCAGATGTGTTGTCACCCCTGAGGACTAAGACGAAATTCCTTGCTTCCAGCCGGTTCTCTAAACTCACCATACGAAACACAGGAGGATTATCTATTTGATATGCTATTTCACGCTGTGAGAGCATGGTTCTTCCTCAGGTGAGCCTACCCAATTGTGCTACCACTGTGACTGCAGCGTGCCTCTACCAGTAGTAGTAGATAGCTACTTCCCATCAGTTGGATTGTAAGTTTGTTTGTCACTTCAGTTTAGTAAAAATAGTTATACATAGGTCCAAATGTAACCACTATATTTGTAATAACATGTACGTACTACTCGTAATCAAGCGCAAAAAATCTAGTAAGTAAAATGGCATCAGAAACCATAGCCCAGAGAGCGTGCGCTTCAAGCAAGTGCCATATTATTCTTACCGAGGGTATTGTTATTATTGATATAAAATATATGGTTTATGAGATTCAGGATATGCAGACGAATCTAAGACATTAATATATTTGATTCGGTACATACGATTCAACATTATTTATTGAACCATAAAACAGACGTGAAGCAAAAGCTATTTACGTTTGGCCTTTATTCTGCTTTCCTTAACGTCAAACCTTGAACCTTGTATTATTTGAACATTGTTCTGTATTTCTACTTTACTTGTTGTCATTATTTGATCTCCGTTCGGATGTTTGTTTCTATGTATAGACGTTTACACATGCTGCCGTTGTGTAACCTTTTCAATACAGTTTATATATAACATTATATATGACTTGTATGATAGCTTCAGCTGCAAGGCAAATGTCACGCGGATGTGTTGTATATGCATTTAAAGTACTAATACATACACTGAGATAACTGAATTCCTCTCTTGGAAGTAAAAAAAAAAACAAAATTCCGACTTCAAAACATCTAAACAATCAACATGTGGCAATTATTGCCACTTATTTTTATAGGTTCAAGGTTGAAGCTCTGTGGCGGCACTGTCGTCGCACCACAAGCGAAATGCACTGAAACATAAATCGCGCTATCAAAGTTTCTAGGTACCTACTGCGGTATAATAAATATAATATATAATAAATATATATATATATATATATATGTATATATATATATATATATATATTTATATATATATATATATATATATATATATATATATATATATATATATATATATATATATATATATATATAATATAATATAATAGCTCAAAACTACCACACAGAGCGTTGGGCGCTTGCCGGGCTAAATACCTTGCCCGGTGGGAGATTTCCCCTTTTCCTTACACGGCTAAATCGGTTCCCACCCGCTGTGATGTGAACACATACACGCAAGTCACGCAACCAACATCCTTCGGAAACTACAACATCTAGCCTTCATCATTATCCATAAGAACTCCTACCATTCACACCCGAGAATCGTCTTCTGCTTTTGAGCTCCTGCAAGCCAGTCTAACTTGTCTTCATTTCGATTCACCGCGATTTTTAAGACAGACTTCTCCGGAACTTGCTCCTCATCGTTTTCACGGGCATCACTTGCAAGTGCGTAGGCAAGTGCCTAGTATGGCATGCATTACACACCGGCGTATCGTTTGCACCGGCGCAGAGTCACTTGCCCTACATACGAGTACACAGCATGCATTCCCCAGTGACATTAAACACGCACCGGCTATTGGACCTCCGGTCTGAGTATAATTAAAAAGTTGCAGCAACTATTATCGGTTGTTGCTTTTCTTGTATTATGAATTCCATATCTTTATATTACATTAGAACCAATTCAATCATCTAAAATTAAGTGTTAATAGCGTTAAGCATTTTTAATATTATTAATAGAGTCGGGAGCTACTTGCGAAATTACTTCTAATATTAAAGATGTGAACATTAATTACCTATCCAGATCCGCGTGAAAAATAAGATGTTGCGTCTTATCTAGTTATTTTTTTTATAGAATAAGGGTGACAAACGAGCACCCAGTCCACCTGATGGTAAGTGGTTGCTGTGGCCCATAGACATTTACATCTATCTTCGTTTGCGAATTGAAATGCAGATGCGTTGTCAGCCGTGAGGACTAAGATATAATGCCTCTTTTCCAGTAAAACGGGTCTCCGGTTCTCTATACTCACCATACGAAACACAGCAGCATTAAGCTGCTATTTTACTTTGGTATTCTGTGAGAGCGTGTTCCTTCGCCGGTCGAGCCGACCCATTCGTGCTACAACTATACTATTAATATAGCTGCAGCATGGCTCTACCACGTAAAATACGTAGTATTACCACGTAGTTTGAAGAGCTGTCAAACTAGGTATGTAACTTTAACATTGATTATGTTATGAAAATTATTATTAGAATCAGTATAAAAATCTTTGTATTGATTAAAATTTTTTTGTTTCTTTCTAAAAACATAAACCTAAATTTTTCGCTGATCGTGGGATCTAAGACAAAACATATATTACTATAGTTTACTCTAATATAATGTCTTAAATTGTCTTTCATATTGCGTAAATTTATAAATTGATGTAGCTCCGAAAATTTATTTTTTGGTTCATAAGGATCAAGACAAGACATGATGTGTCTTTTATATTATTGATCAAAATAACAAAATATTAAAACTCATCTGCGTAAGATTTGAAATTAATCTAATTAGCGTTTTTGAGATATTGATAAGAATAAAAGATGGTCGAAGGGAGCATTTTTTCTTCAACTTAAGAATAATTCTAAAACATTTGTAACTGAAAGTAATGTGCCTGGTGAGAGATGCAGGAAGTCAATGGATCTCTGCATCCATCGGCTGAGGAACGTGCTTTGTAGCATTACTTAGAAGAGGCTTTTGTTCAGTAGTGGACTTGTAAAGGGCTGTAATTATAATTATGATGAAATTGTATGCTATTGTAACTTACTAATTCTTACAAGAAGCGTGAACAGTGTGGCAATATAATATAAAAGCCTCGTGTTAATAGGTACGATCCCACTAATAATTGCAAGCACGCAACGTCCAGTCACGTCAGCCCCAGCGGAGATTGATATACATGTCGCTACTTGCGTCTGAAATAATAGATGAAAACATAATGTTCATACATTTCTCAGTCTATTAATAATTACTGCAATATTTTTTGAACAAATCTAATTTTACAGATTTTATTGCGTTTAATTCGTTTCGTATTCGGGAGGGGTTTCACGTTCGAATTTCATAGTAAGCCCATGTTAAATCCAAACCCAAGCATATCACTTTATAACAATGTAAGATCGTTCATCGTAGATCATTAAAAATTAATATTTAAAAGCCAAGAATACCCTAGTTAGACTATTAATAACTATGGATGTAATAATTATGTAAAATAAAGCATTAAGTTAACCATGTAGTGGCAGTGTAAGAACCTCCACTATCCCATATTATCTCTAGGGTGTCTTAAGAGACGACAGAAGGAAACAAACCAGGAGAAAAGCATCAATGTCTTCCTAATAACAACTATATTATAATTAAACTGAATGCCAAGCGTGGCAATTATATTAAAATCTCACCTAAAAGGCAATCTATGGGGAGGCCTTCATTTACTGAAGGCCTTCCCATATTTCTTTTGATAGGGTGTTACGGTAACAATAAAATCAATACGTTATTTAATATATAACTAATTCATGAGCCAAGCGCTTGCCTTAAATTATATAGAACGCGAGCAAACTAGGTACTATCCTCGCAGGCATCAGGTAAGCTATTAATTTCAAATTTAAGTGCTGCTTTACCACGCGCTCAGCGGTGAAGGAAAACATCGTGATGAAACCTCCATATCTAAGTTATATAATATTTCAAGGATATAGCGTTCACAAACTCACACTAGAGTAGTTTAACTTAGTAACTTTATACATATTCATATATAACAATGACCGCATTATTTTAATAGTATGATTAGGATCATAGTCAATGTTTTTCAGATAAAAAAAATTAAGATCCTAGCAAGCGAATTAATGCGCTATGATATATATTTATCATATTGTGAGGGATAAAAATACTATCTGAACTTATTTATAATATCAATGAGTTGAATGTATAACAATTTACTTCAACGTGCGCATAAGACTTTTTTTTTACTTATTATAAGCCAGTGCTTGACTACAATTCCACCTTGTGGTAAGTGGTGATGCAGCCTTAGATGGTAAATCGCACTGTCTTATCGTAACAAAAGCGTATTCACTCTTGCCTTGAAGACGCCCAGATTGTATTCGGACGGAAAGATAGACACCGGCAAATTATTTCACTCCTTTGCTGTACGCATTACAAAAGACGAAGCAAACCGTTTGGTTCTAATGCGTGGTGATTAAGACATATGAGAACAGGAATAATTCTAAATATAAATAGTTTATATTGAATGAATGAATATCCTCACGAGACTAGCTATATGTGTAGGAAATGATTATAGTGTACGAGTGTGTGTGCTAATACAGGTGCACTCTATTCCACCACTCTTACTGTTCAATGGAATGGAAATCCAACACAACCGGAGAGAGATCAGGCGCATATCATTGGACCTGCACCTGATCTCTCTCCGGTTGTGTTTACGTGCTTTTTGTGTTGCGTTGCTTTACGTGCTTTTTGAGGCGAAGGGGTGAAACATTGCCAAATTTGTGACTCCAGACTGCTAACCCGGAACCCAAAATTTGTACCCGGGAACTTATGATCAGCAGTCGCGCTTACGACCACTAGACTAACGAGTCAGTCATTTCTGAGTCAGAGTTTATTATCAAAGTCAAAGTTTATTATTTATAAGTTACCTTATCTTACACCTCTAACTTTGCTTTGAATGTAAGTGTTTACAATTCATTATAAATTACGATTTTAGATGGCGTTTTTTTTTTCAAACTGTTCATGATTTATACAGTTATTATGGATGCAGAATATAATCTTGCGAATTATTCTTTAAATGAAGTTTTAATTAATAAAATATCCAGTAATGAAGTGTTAAACATTAAATGAATGAAGAATTAAACATTAAATCAGTATTAACTGGTATTGGTATCGATTCGCATACAAATCGCGGTCATGACAAAACTATTTCCCCTTTTTTAGAGATTTTTTTCATGGCTACGCATACCGGATTGTAAGGATATTTATAGGATAGTTATGACGGACTCGCACAGATTAAAATCCCATGGTGTTTCACATTGGCCGCATATCGGCAATATCTCGAGAACATTCGCCCCGATTCTGTTACGCGGAAAAAGGTGCGCCCATAATACATATCAAGGTATTAGTATCGATCTGCGTACTCGTCGTGGCCTTGATAAATTTATTTAGTTTGCTATAGGCATATGGCCCCACTAACCATATAGTGGCGGTGTAAAAATATCCACTACGCCATATGGCCCGAGGGTGTCGTAAGAGGCTACAGAGGCAAAATGAAACAGGAAATGGGCAGCAGCATCTTCCTGAAAACAACTCAAAATAATAAAAAACTGCAGATGCCAACCCGCTTGCATAGCGTGGCAACTATTGTAAAATCTCCCGATGAGGTAGTCTATAAGGTAGGCCTATGTTCAGCAGTGGACTATTATAGGCTGTAATGGATGGATATGGTCACATTGGATTCTAATATATATGTCATACATATTCCTTTTCTGTATACAAATAAAATACGATGCCAGGTTACTTACCACACAGTAATATTTTATAATCATGAATTCCATAAAAATAATAAAAGATGTAAAACCACTTAAGATATTATGGATTTCGATATTTAATTTTAACTATATTTATCTGCCTTATCATTAATCAATGACAAATATAAATACGAAAAAAAACCTGCTAAGTGATTGAAAACACTTTAATATTTATAACTTTTTATAAATAAAACTAAAATATACATACCTTTGTATAACCATATTGGAATAGAAGTATTGGTTGCAAGATGAAAAACGTCAAGTCAGAAAAATTAACGAAACTCTGGCCAATACAGATGTTGCAGAAAACTGGATCTTTTAAAACTTTCATGTTTATTAATTTCAACAGCTCTTTTCTAAAATTAATGAAGTTACAATTATAATTTTGTAATCTTAATTTTGTAAATTTTGGTTAATCTATTGTACTTCTTTAAATATATTCGATCACCTCATTTTATCAATTTTAATTTTGCGAGATTTGCCATTCACTTTCGAATCAACGATTGTTTTTCCATTCTCAATAGTCAATAAATCGACGTTTTCTTCGATTTTTCCATTGACATTTCCTGTTGATTTCATAAAATTATTAAGTATTTGGTCGTATATATTTAAATTAATTGAACAAAAATGGATAAAAAAAATACTTGCGGTTTTGAAAACTTTCGTAGATTTAGCACTCGTCTTCATTACAATCATGCCAGGGAATGTATGGAATGATGCTCCTGATATTATTAACAGGGTCCCCCTAAATCCGTAATTTGACATCAGCATTTTTATCAACTGTGGGTACCAAATTAATGCAAACCCCTGAATGGCTTTAATTATGCTCATTACTTGTGTTCTATTCCTAACGAAGTAATAGTTTAAGCTTGAATAGCAAACAGGGACCATCATTCCAAAACCGATTCCTTGTAGTCCTCCGAATGTTATGGGCAGTTGGTTTGTGTTCGTTATAAATATTGTGAGAATTGAACCAGTGGAGTATAAAACTGCGCCTAAACACCCACTTAGCCTCAAGGAATAATTTTTAAGCATTATATTGAGAATTAATCCTGTAAACAAATATTTTCTTAAGTTTAATGGCCTTATACAGTTTTAACATTTGCTCTCAAAATTTTCAACATTCTATACCTCAAAAGTACATACATCAGATTTAAAAACTAATCCGTCAAATAGCCCCTCTGTCTGAGATTACAAATTTCCATAAGACAAAATCCTAACATATATCTCTCGCTTCTTTCACATCCACATATATGCGCATACAATATGTTTATCGGTTAAGGGTACTTTTAAGTTGACCCATCTTCAATATATCGCTAATTCGGTCGATAAACTTCTATCTACGGTGTTCTTAGTCGACTCTGCCACTCACTTTTACAGCATAATTTGCTTTTTCACTCTTTAGTAATTAATTTCTCAATCCAAACCCCCGTAGCATTCTTTTATTAATCCTAGTCACAATATCTTCTTGCTAACCACACTTGAAGTGAATAATAACGCCACGCGAATGGCGCGCTTTTTTAAATGAGTTTGTAGAAACCGCTCCACTAAAATCGCAGTAACTTTGTCATTTTTAGTCGGATCGAGATAATGTTTTTACTGCAGGTACTAGATTAATCAGTTCTATATTTACAGTACATACTCATTTGAATTCATACGGAAAGCTCTTTGAGCATTAATGTAGATGTCTATGGGCCACAGCATCCACTTACCGTCACTTTTCTTATCACGAAATCTCACTGTATCATTCGCTTTTCTACAGCATTAATTTTACTTTCATGCCGACTTTCATTACCCATACATTCACATGGAGGCTAAATACAGCGTTTCAAATCGCCATGCGTGCCTTTTTAAGCATCCTCACTTTTCACAATAGAGTGAAGTTTGCAATTCCCTCAGTGTCCTGCATTTATTCATCGCTCTATTCTTATCACGTTTACGATCCCTAATAAAAACACATCCTAAATTCACAAACTCATCCACTTGCTCAAACTTCCCTTATATTCGTCCATAACAGTGTATCACATAATGGATATTTTTAAATTTAATCTATTTGTATGTTGTATACACAGTAACATTCATTAATCGACTAGTATTCATTTGAAAAAGAAATTTATCAAGAAACTTGACCGTAACTATTCTTTATATTTTTATAAATATTTTTTTATACGATAGGGTGACAAACAAGCACACAGTCTACCTGATGGTAAGTGGTTGCTGTGGCCCATAGACATATATATCATCATATACATCTATCCTCTCTAGCGAATAAAATACAGACGGGTGACAACGCATCTGCATTTTAGATGGAATGCCTCTTTTCCATTAAAAGGGGTCTCCGCTTCTCTACACTCACCAGAGGAAACACAGTAGTGTTAAGCTGCTATTTTACGCTGGTATTCTGTGAGAGCGTGATCCTTTCCCGATCGAGTCGACCCATTCGTGCTACAACTATACTACTTATATAGCTGCAGCATAGCTCTACCACGTACAACATAAAAATAAACAATTGAAGAAAACAACCTTACCTCCAATAGCAAGCATAATAGCAAATACTCCATGTGCTGTGGTTAATGACTTTGCCGTAGAATTTGTATCAATTATAAAATCATTGTAAATAAGCCCAAATGAATTAACATGACCTATTCCTGCAATCTAGAAAAATAAATACAAAAAAACGAATATAAACGAATCAATACGGAAATATACGTAGTCCACAAATTTGTATTCAAATAGGGTACAAGTAGGTACAACCAAAACAAAACAACAGGCTATAATATTATCTGGGCCAAAAATATACCGCGATTGGCTGTTAAACACAAATATACGCAGTTAATTAATAAAACAGCTATTTACATTTAAAGTAGAATCATAATCATTACAATTGAGAAATTAATACTCACAAACGTGATGACTATTCCAAAACAAACGATATAGCCCCACGTGTTATTTTCCGCACTATCGGTATGGATATTTGTTTTCATTTTTTCATCGTTAATTTGTTTACTATGAGTATTGTTTTCCATTTTAAATATGTCCACAGAATTCGTAGTACACTGAATGAAAGCCACGGCTAAACTAAATCCGGATACTCTAGATAAAGTATTGCACTCTATAAATGGAACGTGTGTATGATACGATAACTATTCTTTGTCCTCTTGTTTACTACTATTTACATTGTGGCGCCAGGGACATTGTCGGTTATCGACAAATATTTTGTTGAACATTATAAATTCATTTATTTCATTATTTTACCTTCACTATATATAGCGAAATTATAAATTTGAAAGGGGGGGAGGGGGTAATTGCAGGTATATGGAACAGCTATAGAGCCTTTTCACGTTTATATTTTTGTGGAATATCACTAATTTCTTAAAAAGTTTTATCTTTAAATAATATAAATAATCCATAACCTTCAAAGTTTTTCCTATGTTTATGTTCGCTGTTTTCAATTTTTAAACTAATAAATGACAAGAAACTCATTGGTTAAACAAATAGGTACTTAAAATCAACCGCACTTATAACTCTGTCAACACCTGACGACACCAAATTTCGTTAATTTGTAGTTTTCAGGTGTATATAATAATCTGCCTAATAACAAATTTCAAGTTTATTAGTTACCTAGAAGTGGCCTGACTGTTTCTGATGAGAAAGTCAATGAGTGATTAAAATAACATCTTATTTATAATTCAAGAACTATAATAGATTTATTCATAAAATAAGAAACTTGAAACACAAGTAGTTCCCTTCAGACATGCAAAACCAGTGTTTTTATCTAATAGTATTTGAGTAATGGGGGTTCAAAAACAGATCGAAATGGTTCATTAATGGTATGTTCCGATATACACTATGACCACTGTAAGGTGTAACGTCAATTCAGAATACTGTGAAGTCGTTCCTTTTTAGTTTGCTATACTAGTTACTGTTCAAAACGAAACGCAGTCCAGTATACTGTCATCCCCATTTTTCGACACTGTTTTCAAATGTAAATATTTATCATGTACACGTTTTCTAACGTTCTTCGTAACGAATTGATTCCAGCCGCAAAATTTCACGAACGCACATTGCGGCAAAATTTCCGATTCCTTCCAGTCCAGTACCTTCAAGACTGCTGAGGTGTCGAAAACCGATGTCCTCTTTGACATATACGCAAGCACCAGCCCGGGACACAAAAGCGTGTTCTAATTTGTACCCCGGGTAGGAGATATACGAAGTATCATCCGGAGAGGACACTTGTGTTTCAGTTAAAAAGAGCAAGGCCGGCTTTCCCGACTCCAGATGGTAATGGACAGCGTTAAGATTTGAATGAAGTCTCCGGATGTTGCAGAAATTCACGAATAGCGTGACAGGGGTCGCCTTAGTCTTATCTTCTTGCCCTGAGGAGTTTTAGTCATGAGCGGAATTTGCCCCCCCCCCCCCCCAAATACGCGGGGCAGCCTGAGTACTCACGCTAAGAAAGAGTATGGTTGCTTACTGGTGGGCGTGGATGCTCAGCGAGGGAATCGGCCACCTGCACTTACCAAGCGAAACCCCGCAGTAAACGTTTATTTCACGCTGGTATTCTGTGAGTTCGTGGTACCCCGATTCGAGCCCCCCATATGTGCGACAGCAAAAGCTGCCGCGTGGCTCTACCATTGTTAAAAAGTCGGTGTGGTAGAAACTATCGATCGATGTCGACTGATCCATTCCACCATCGATCGACAATCGATCGATTGGTATGGAATGAAATAGTTATTTGTTAAAATGTATTTATTTTTTTGTTATTTGACTATTTCTGAGGGCGAGTTAGTAAAAATTTCGTTTGCTACATCGGCGACCTTGATAATATTAGCGTAACAGTAGCGTCCATCAAGTTTAACATAATTTTTTGTTTTCCCAGTAAAGCTAGAGATGGACTACTGTCCCACGAAAGATAAGTGAAAGATAATGCGCTTTGCACTGGATTAGCCTAGAAGCCTGTTTATGCTTTTCTTGATGATACACATTATTTCACTCCTTTGCTGAACGCATTGAGATAGTCAAAGAGAACCCTTTGGTTTCAATGTGTGGAATGTCAACAACACAGTTCTTAGCTTATGTTCAACCTAAAGTTTATTTTTCCTTGTCTGTAAACAAAACTTACCATGTAATAAGAGCGTAAGAGAATTCATCGCCTTATTTCGTCCCATGGTTGTCATAAGAGGCGTTAATAGGAAATGCCTGAAAAGTCTTATAGCTTCTGATAGATGGTGGTTTAAAAGCTTTTAGAAAAATTTCATGACATCTTATATACATCTTAGCGGTTAGCCACCGTAGAGTCTATATCACCTGAGGATGCCTCGTGTAGAGGCGAAACACGTGTCGTATTGTCGTCAGTGGTGTGTCTTGCCTAGTGTAGTGATGTTGGGAGTAGCGGTGCGGGGATTAGTGGTGAAGGGGATAGTGCACGCAATTGAGGGATGGCGGGAGGTGCTCTTCATACTAGGTAAGACACATCACTTTATTTTATAACGCGGATATTTGCGAAGTAAATTTTTCTAAAAGCTTTTATATAATGGATTTCTATTAATTAGATGGTGGTTTAACAATCTTGTTCACACCAATCGTAAAATACTCAGACGACGGGCAGCAGTATGCATCTGGTACTGTTAGCGTCAAACCGGCCTGTCAATCGTGACAAGTAAGGTAATTTCTCCCTGCAGCTTTTGCGCGCTGATAAAAACTATAAATAACATGGAAATGAACATGAAAAGTACTTGAAAGTGATACAAATATTTTTTTACATCTTTTTAAGAAAGCCTAACATTATTTTTTATTAAATGAAGTTGTTGTAACAGTGGGTCATGCTACTACGCTGCCGTACCGTCAAAACTTTATCATCGTTACATATTTAGTACATTGTTTAATTTCGACACATAAATACACAATTGTTTGTTGAAATATTATATTCTTCGATCAACAATATCAACTAGATATCGGGTCGGCGCAAAAAATACGGCGAAGTAAATAACAGCGCACTGGAGACGTGAGTTCTTATTTCGTTTAGTTGACTTGAAACACGGCCAATATAAACACGTTTCACAATGCCAAAAAGTTGCAAGAATAATGCCCGATAAAGCAATTTAACAGCCGGAGTGTTTTACTTTCGGTAAGTACATGTAGAATAAGTTATATTTTAAAATCTAAATTAACAACTATTATCATATTTGAAACAAAATTACCGATATTAAAGCACCCCTACAAATTTTTGCCAAGGTTGGCCAATACACGCGTAAAAATTTGTAAAACAGAATAGTAAAGTACATGGAGTAGATTTGTATAGTAACCATTTTTATTAATTTGTTACCAGAACTTTAAATAATGGTAATTGTTACTTTTGTCCCTGTTTGTGTAATTTCATTAGATACTTAGCTTTATTATTTTTATTTTAGCAATCCGTAAGTTGAAAAATTTATTGACGTAAGGTTACATTATATATGTAAAAAAGAAACGGAACATATAAAAAATAAATCAAAACGACAATTGTACAATGAACTTAACTTATTTAAAGTAAATTAATTCATGTATACACAAAATGGAAAAATCTTTAATGTTGAATCATTGTAAATATTTTGATTTTTGATTTATTGATTGCACTGAAATTTACTTCTATTATAAGTATAATAATATATTTGTAGTATATAATACATATACTACAAACATATATACATACAAAAACTAAGATAAATATATAATGAATTATCTAATCAAATGCAATCATTATACTACATACTATATTATATTTAATGGCTAGTGTGGAAAGTATGTATACTAACATACATAAATGTCCAAAATGTAAATAATTTTAACTAAACTTATGATCATATTATAAATTATTTTAGTATTCACCGCGACTCTTTTTTGTAGCTAAATTCGAAGAAGCAAACAGAAACGAAACAATACGACGTAGCTTGCAAAGCAATAACGGGAAAAAATACTTTAATTTGTTATTACTTAAGGTTGATTTCACACTAAATATTATTTAACCTATGTCTTTTCATATCCAAGTGACAGGAGTAATGCATTGAATTGTTCTTTTTTCTAACTAATGATCGTAAGATTTGTGACTTTATTACTAGATGCCATGGTTGTAATTGCGTTGAACATAAAGTTTTAATTTTTTGTCTAAGTTCTTTAGTAAACAAATGTAGCTGTATAAGTATATATTCACGCGGACAGTATTTAGCTATGATTTTGTACGTGACCCGTTATCTAGTTGGTATCGTTGATCGAAGATTATATTGTTAAAATATTAGATTAGTAGTTATCTGCTTGTTATAAGCGTTGCCACTACATAAGGAACATCCTGTATGGTAAAAGCGTCTCCCACACACAAGCGGCTTGCGGTGGCGGCTAACCGCGAGCCGCGGCTTCAGCCGCTGCAACAACACATCACCGCGGTCGCAGCGGTGGCCTGAAGTGCCATTCGCTGAGGTGTCTGTGCTACGATTGGACGTCAGTAACATGACTAACCGTGACTAAGTCTTATTATATTCTGCAATATTATTATATATTTTGTTTTTAATCCTAATGCTTTTGTAATCACGTAGCGAATTATCATAAAGTACTGACTAATTTTGCACTGTTTCTATTAAAATCTCTGAATTTAGCACCATTTTTCACGAGGTACATGCAGCCTGTTGTAAAAATTTGCAACTGACCGCGTACTCGCTAACACACACGCGTTGGCATAAGGGGCGGAGCATGCGGCCGCGGCCAGCCGCTCGTAGATCGTGACGTGGCCGCACGGGTTTGCAGACTCACTTATATTGCAAGCGAATACAACTGACCGCCACCGCGGCCGCCACCGCAAGCCGCTCCTGTGTGGGAGACGCTAAAGGCTTTCGCCAATTTTACATATTATTATGTAAATTGCACAGGACAATTATCGATATTTGCAGATTAAAAGACAATGCCCATCTGTGCCCCAGAAATGCCCAGATAAAGTATATTACAAGATTGCTCTAATAAATAAAAACTAGAATTATGTTGTTAATTTTAAATTATATGAAGCACTGGATAAAAAATTTAAAAAAATAAGACGTTTTGTTGACATTGCAGTAGGTACGTATTATCGTTTCAATCATTAATTCTAGCTTTATTTATTACGGTCTGGAATCACGTCCTTTGGCCCATGTAAAACTCAACATGATTGATATTAGTCATAAAAGTCATTACTAAATAATCGAATAATAATATATTGCTTTACAACTAAACCAAATAAAAATATAATTTTATAATAAACGTCATCAAATGAAAAAAAAACATGGCCCAGTTAAGCATTTATTTTTGTTATCAAAAGCCAGAGACAGACTAGTTTTTACCAACGCCATTTATGGGACTATTTGTTTGTTCACCTATCCCTCATTGACAGTCTCTTAAATTATAAAATCTTAGGCTTTGTTTAGTTCGGGGCTTAATAATTGGCATGATAAATAAAATGTTAGAAAAAGGAATCGTTTTTTTGTTGATCAATTGATCTAAGTAATCGATTCCAATATCGATTATTATTTTACTTTTGAATCATCAACGAGTTGAATAAAGATCTAAATGATGTCTCCAACACGCAAAAGTAAAAAAGTACTTTGTGGTAGTGTATAAGTATATCTAGGCTTCAAATAAACAAACATAATTAAAGCAAAAACCTAATGAAGTAATGGCTCAAAAGACTTAGCTCCAAGTCAAAAACATTCCAAAAAACTAAAATGACTGTCACTCATTCTTTCACTGTATAAAAAACCAGTACGAAGTTGACATGTTTAATGTCCAATATCTTTTGAACCGGTGCTTTATATGACATTAAATCTAGATATCATATAAATACTGTTAAAAAGTTATCCTATGACATAGAGCTGCAATTTGGGCATTGCATGGCATTGCTGACTTTCAGCTCCATACTAATATGGGCATGGTCCTTTGATCCATGAATGTAACTCAGGCACTGAGCAGATTAGGCAGTATAGTAAATAAAATAAAACCACATATCATTTTAGTCTTTATTTATTTACAAATTTTTACAGAACTATTTACAGCTATGCACTTAGATATTTAAATGATGCGAGAGGGACATTTATAGCTATTAGTCTAAATGAGTATTATACACTTTTACACCACATTTGGGGATCAGTGATATGGTACATATAAAGACAAAGTATAAAAATACATAATTATTATAGTTTCATAATTGTTTTTCTTTTGCATTACTATTGTTTTAATCCTTATTATAAATTTATAGGTTTTGTCAGTTTGTATTTTCTTGTGTCGAAATATGCCTTAACCATTTGTAGTTAGTCGTTGAGTCAAGAACATTTTGAATAAGTATAGTGCTTTTTTCGCATACAGGGAAGTTGTTAAATCTAGCTTAGGCTATATTATGGCTCATCATTGTCATTATATTATTATTATTATGCTCATAATGGTATGTCCATTATGAGCTGTAGAAGCTGATTTTGTATAAAATATGTACAATAGTGGTGATTTTGAATTAACATAGATTTATGAAATCTTAATATTTAAAACAATATGGCACATTGATAAAATAACATCATTTATTTTTATATATGGTTTTCTAACTTACATATTTGGTGTAGCAAACTGTTGTTCTTTCTTCACCACTTACGCGTCGTCCTAATACAACGTGAATGCGCGAACATCGCAGTTCGCGTGAATTTTACTCGTACGAACACGCGATCTAACAATATCTGCTGATCGCGAATAGGTGTCCTAATTGACATTTGCACGATGGGGTCGCGCGACTTAATGGTTTGAACTTAGTTCGTACGAACGCGTGATTATATTGCTGTGGAATAGGTGTCCTAATTGACATTCGCGCGACAGTCGCGTCGTGTCGTCGGGCAACGGGGTGAAGGGCAAGGACCCGATTAAACTACTACTATTACTATATTAATTGTGAAATTCATTATGTATCGGTCTTATTTCCAACAAAGCACGTTGCGACCCATTTCGGTTTTTTTTCATTGCTGTCAAGACCAGCAGAATAGGTCATCCATATATTTCCAGAAAGTAAAACCTGGGCGTTTCTGACGTCCATGCTTAGCGTTAATGACGTGCGCAAATAACAAAGCGTAGCGGAATCCGCGGCCGCTCGCATCGTCAATTCGCGTGATGGTCGCGTAATCGCGTTGTATTAGGACGACGCCTTAGAACTTTTTTAAAACCGATCGCCTAAAAATGAGGGTAATATTTTGGTTCCACGGGTTTTGTAGTACGGTGTAAATTAATATAACATTCACATAATTATATATATAAATATTATGGCACTGTATGAAGACAAAAAGACTGACAAATGTGCTATTTTGTTTGTTTTTTGTATTATCAGTGCAGCCGTATTTTTTAGCTTTATTTAAGATAATCTTATCCCAGACAATAATATTCTAAAACAATTTTTCAATAATGTTATTTTAAAAAGATGTTACTTTATTCTTTTTAATCTTGATCCAATTCAGTAGAATCGAATGTTTCCTTGATAGTTCTAAATTTATTTTCATATTGCTGTTTCAACCTTGATTACCCTTACTAGATTTTCTACGCATCACATACTTTAAAACAGCCTCTATCGTCCAAGGCAAAACACAGAATACATTGCACATTGTTAGCATAAGAAATGCTAAAACATAATTTCCAGTGTAATCCCGGATGAAACCTGTAAGAATACAGTATCAAACTATAAATAATCAATAACCTCGCACTTTAGAATTACGTTAGAAACAGCCGCAGTAGATTAGGGACTATGCGCACGCCATTAATATAACAGTATACGAGCAACCTGGGATCGATCCCTGCCAGCGTCAGTGAAAGAAAAAAATTGCGAGGAAACTTGCATGTCTTAGGAAAAAGCATGCAGTCGAATTGAGTACCGTCTCCTTTTTGAAGTCGGCAGATAAAAAAGACCATGTTTGGACATTTTAATCGACCGACGAGCTTCTATGGTGTACTAAGTGCTCTTAAAACTCATGTGTTTATTTATTTAATTTCTTTTATTATCTCCAATGAATAATAATAAAAACGAACAGGCTCACTCCTTTCAGTATTCTTTCCGTGTTATCCTGATAAACGTGTATTATTATAAGTATTTAAGTTGTAGAAAAATGTTACGATGATGATGTAATTAATCTAACAATGGTAGAGCCACGCGGCAGCTTTTGCTGCCGCACGGATGGGCCGGCTCGAACCGGGGTGGTACCACGACCTCACAGAAAACCAGCGTGAAGTAGAGGTTTACCTCTGCGTTTCGCTTGGTGAGTGCAGGTAGCCGGAGGCCCTTTTTACTGGAAATGAGGCATTCCATCTTAGTCCTCACGGGTGACAACGCATCTACATTTTGAGTTGTAATAGAGGATAGATGTAGATGTCTATGGGCCGCAGTAACCACTTACCATCAGGTGGACTGTGTGCTCGTTTGTCACCCTTATCCTATAAAAAAAAAAAATTAAGAATACTTTAGAAAGCCACGGGTTGTACTACGTATTGTGTGATTATTAGAAAAGTAAACTTATTTAAGTCTATAATTTAAATGGAATAAACATTCCTTGGCCTTTATTTCCCTTAACGTAGCAAACATGATTATTGCATTAAGATTTTGCTATGAATATTAATCAAGAAGTTAAGAGTTGTTGTGACACTTCGCGAAACAGTTTTCTTACACAACTTTCACCGCCCCAGTGTTATTCCATGAACAAATAACACGGGTAACTTGTTCTTACAAAACTTAGCGGGAGATCGACGTTTTATTTTATAGTCGCAATATTTTACGATATTAGTACTCCGTGACAAATATACGATGCCGTGTAGTTGCGTTGTAACAAAAATCTATCATTCCGTATTGTTCTGTTCATGTAGTAAAAGTTATCTATTTCTTTTAAGACAACTTTTACGGCCAGTATTATTATTAGCTTTTGATATATTATCGATGTACCAATATAAAGAAATGAAATGTCCTTAGAGAAAATGTCCAATTCAGCGACAAAGACGTATTAAAAAATATAGGTTACACACTAACATTATTGTATTTTAAAGTGGCGCAGGTAGTAATATATCTACTTAGAGTTATTTATTATGACACGTTGCGCTAACGAAAAGAGACAAATGATAGGGCATACCTATCGTTAGAAAAAGACGAATATACATCATTAGTTGCGTATTGATTGCTGCTGAGCGCTCATTGGCGCGAGCGCGTGACATACCGATATGGAAAATGAACACACCAGCTAGCGTCAAAGTTTAAACTAGCGGTTAGTGTTGAAATAATAAAACCAATTATGAACAAAACATCTATTTTCAAAATATTAATGAGACGTTTTCTGGTCTCTAACAGTTGCCGTGTAATTTGTGCACCACCTAAAAACACAGGAAGGCATTTTTGCCGCGAATAACTAGAAGATTATATATATATATATATAGTCACGACGCGAGAGCGTGCCCGACTGAATGCGAGTCGGGCAATTACCTGACTTTCGTTATGCCATTTTAGAGCGAGTATGACGTACTTTTAAAAACATCTTAGTACAGCGACCTACAGTTTGGCTGTCAATTGAAACATTAAGGCACAAATTTGGATGATGCCTGAAACCGACTTACATGCAATAGTGAAATGTTCTAATTTGTTAAATTAATATACGATAACACTTACCTATCATAGGTCCAACAGTTAAACTAATAAATCCCGCTAGCAACATATATAACCCATAAGCAGGTGGGTACCGTTCTATAGGAACATGTTCTGCCATAACGATAGGCTGTGCAATGTGTAGGAAAGACCTTAATGCTCCCAATACTCCAGTCAATACTAGTAGTGGAATATATGTTGTATATTGTATGAACACTGAAAAAATACACTATATTATAAATTTGTTAAAAAGTACTATTTTCCCATCTGGTGGCGGGTTAGGAGAATCCATTACTCTTTTCATTTTAGTTTTTAGACGATTATGGAAAATTTTAGAAATATATCATGGCTATCGATCTAAAATGCGTTACAACCATTGTGTACTTATGTCAAATACTTGGTGTCGAGGGGCAGCGTCAAGGGTACGAGATATCGAGTGAAGTGACATCAGTCTGCCTGTCAAGCGTAACGATTGCGACAAATCCTTCTTACAAAGCGAGAGAAGTCAATCAGTGGACTCTTATTGGCTAAAAAAAGAGCAAGGAGGTGATTTATTAATGCAATCGTGTTGGTATAGTTATTCATTTCACGATGAAGTTTTGACTTGGTTGGTGTTAGCCGTGCACACACACATGTTACACATTGTGTTAGTGTGCATAAGGCTCGAGAGGTGATACACATCATTTTAATATTGCACTCTTAACAAATTATTCTTCATACTTTGATATAGATGACTAGTTGCTCTTAAAGAAGCCATTTATTATTTTGTAAACAGATGATTGACTCACCAATTCTGAATATGGCAGTGAGAAGGGCACCTATATAAAACATGTAACGACTGTTCATTCGGAAGAATTGTCCGGACACGGCTAACAGAAGTCGTGCTGACATGTCAGTTGCACCTCCAGTTGCGATTATGTTTGCTATCTCGGCCTGTCAAAAAGCAGATGATTAGACATTTGACCTCGTAACGTCGCAATAAATAAATTTATATTTTACTAATTTAAATGTAATAATTACGGATTTAATTTTTTAATTAGTATGTTTTACAAATTTTATTTAAATATATTTATTACGTTAGTACGTAATATTAAACGTAGTAGTAATTATTATTGACATTAATAATAGCGGCTGTAAATTTTATCGTATTAAAAATGATCCTAAAATATAACTATAATTTTTGTGACCTTTCCAGTCGGATGATCATAAAGATAACGAAGTCAATATTTAATTACTTATCGTTTATAAAAATACAAATAAAAATAATTTTATTTTTTTCTCACCCTGCTTAGATGATTTTTGTCCAGAAATAATGGTTCTAGTGTGAAGAACGTCAAATCAGAAAAAAATGCCAACGACATCCCTATAATAATGTTGTCGTATACTAAGTCTTTTAATAGTGTTAAATCAAGAAACTCTGCTACCGTTTGCCTGAAAAAAAATCAAAATTAAAGCTAAGACACTTTGACATGTAATTATTTGTTTTTATGTAATTTAATATGATATCTGAACTGAGAACATAACGTTTACGGTTTACGAGTTTACGATTATACAGTATGTTAAAAAAATACATGTTTGTTGTAGATGGATCCAGTAAGTTTGGATTTATTGGTAGATGATATGTTATGGGTATATACACGATAATTCATCACAGATGTCATAAATAAAACATTGTGTTATTACAAATATTTTGCTTTCTGCGGTTGAGTTTCAAACTTCGAATACATTACTATGTTCTAAATTACAATCTGATACAACTTCATATTCCTTTAGTTAACTTTAGCTGATACGACACGCTGCTACAGAGAAAGTTATCAAAATCATATAATATATTTGAAACAATGTTTTGTAATTCTTTACCGAATGTCAATTTACAAATTGTTATTTTGTAAATTTATAGTATTTTACTTACCATTTACCTTCTTTGTTTTTAATTATAGGCATAGGCTCTGCCGCAATATTTCCAAAATTACCCAAACTAGATACAGAAGCCGCTTTGTACAAATTTTCTAAATATACATTATCACTAGAATTGAATTTACTATCAGTCTTTGCATTGTCAGGTATTAAAACTACAGGAATACTTAATCTTCTAGAGTCATCTAATTTTGGAACAAATAATAACTGTGATCCATTTTTGGGCTTATTATTATTGGCTATCAATAAATTTTCTACTGATCTTGTTCCTTTATTCTTGGTACCACCATTTTCTACTTTGGGAAAATTAAATTTATCTTCATTATCATCAACAGCTGGTGTAGGTGGAATTACTGTAATTGAAAGTATGATATTAAATTGAATGAAACTATAATTGAAACTAAATTTAAATATAATATGCATGTAACTTACAAACAATTTTTTCACATGATTTTATTTCTTTTACCATATGCCACTTTACTGGGTGCATAACTATAGCACCAAAAATGCTATGTGCTGATATGGCACAGAGGATAGCCAGCGTACCCCTAAATCCATACTCTATTATAGTAAATTTAATAAACAGTGGGTACACCATCGTTATGAGCCCAATTGAAGCTTTGCATAAACTAAGATAAAGTACTTTCTTTTTCGTGAAGTAGCTGTTGAAACTTGTATAAGAAACGGGAATGAGTAAACCCATTCCAAGACCTTGTAGTAATCCATTTGTTATGATCAACTGTGTCGTTGATACAACAAATATGGCTAAAAATGATGCCAACGTGTAAATAAAGGCTCCTATGAGACCCACTTGTCTTAGTGATAGCTTTTTTAAAGCTATATTGGCCGAGAACCCTGAAACAAAATATTATTGTAAGTTTAAAAGTATTGTGTTATTATTTTTAGACAAATTTTCAAGTGTTATCTTAGGATTTCGTGTTGTTTAGTTTGTTTGAATAATTATTCAATGCATAAAGCGAAAATAAAACATAACTTTAGATAAACAAAATTCTAAAATGGTCCTGCTTAAAATTATCAAATTACAATTTAAATTGTACCTAAAGTTTGACTAATGTTGAAATAATTTGAAACAGACAAGTCGAACATAGAATTTCCATTTATCTATTACACTCAGCGCTCCATTTCCAAATAACTTATATTGATTAAATTGTTGCAAGTGATATATTACGTATTGTATTTATTTAACATACTGATATATCAGGGAAATTATAATAATGTCGATGATTGAAACTAACGTAAACAAACACTGATATTTGAATGTAAAATCCATTCAGTAACGCAGAACCTATACTTCGAGACTGGTGATGGGGAAAAGAATTACGCGTTCAGCGCTTATCAACCTACTTGCTCAACGTGGTGAGTATCAACAAATCTTATTCTTTACTAAGTTTTCTAACAGTGGACTTAACAAGAGCTGGAAATGAGAACTTAACACTCCAGTGCGTGCGTGGAACACAGGCGTGCCACAGGTATGTATATATTTTTGCCTGTTATTACGCCAATAATGCAAAGAGAATCTTGCCGCCTTCCATAGTTATTGTTAGTATCCTTGAGTGCTTTGTTGTGACATGTAAATGGTGCTAGTACGCGAATCTCCTCTCAATAAAATCTTAATTCATCTTGGAGTGCAATAACGTAACTATTTCAAAAAATGTTTATGTTTGAATTCTATACCGATAAACTCTTATTTTTTAAGGGGTACAGTAGTGTCACGTGTTATTACGTAATGTTTTACTGTGCGTGTATATATAGCTCCTTATAATGCGATTTTTCAGAAGATGTAGAAATTAATTGAAATAACAGAGCGTCACACGGCCAGTTAGATGACGGTATTTTGATAGTAAAAAATATCTAAATATGTAGACTAGGACAAAACATTATTTGACATGTTTTTGATACTACGATATAAAAAACGCCTGATAAGCGAACACAGCTATAAGGCAAATCATTAAAATAAAAAATAAAAACTAGAAGTGACATACGTATACACAATTCTTGAAACTATTTTTAGCTTGGTTATAGAATAATGGTTATAGAAGAAGTTTGTGCTGTAACAGATTGGTGTTTAACATTATATAAGTGGCCCGTGGATAAACATCAAAAAACGAGACAATTATTTGATGGCAATATACTGGTTCTGTCAGCATGGACTTTAATAATTTGTCTTCAACTTTTACCAAACACTACCGCGATTTCTTTAACATTAAACCACTCCTTACAATGTTGTGTCGGAAACTTATTCAAGCATAGACATAAAGAAAGTAAAAACATATTTTTACCCGCTAAAGCCACAGTAACTTGGAATACGCCATAAACAACTGTGACTGCTCCCGTACCAGCTCCCAAGTCGTTGAGAAAATCATTATAAATAAATCCAAACACGGGTTGGTGCGCTGTTCCCGCTATCTGTTAACGACAGTAAAATTGTCAATCATTATTGCACTTTAGTTTCCAATAAGGATGAGAGAATAAAGACGAGAAAAGTTATTTGCTTATATCTGCATGCAAAGACCAAATAGTATGTATTCTTAATTGTAGAGGTTAGAGTAATGACCTCCGGACCAAATTTCGGTCCCGGCAGTCAGTCCCGATGCAGTCATGCCATCTTTGGTAAGTTGGCAGTGTTTTTTACTCTCGCGCTTTGCTAAGCTCGCAAATCCGTTGATACTGCCCTTAGTCTCTCTCCGGTCGTATCAGATGACAATCTCTTGGAATATGGGAGTGAGTAAATGCACAAACACTCGTCTGCGCATGCACTCTTTTATAATAATCCTGTGCTGCGTAGATATCTATTCTACGTCTATGGTTGCTGTGATCGAAATTCGATCTAGAGGACATTATAAGATTCTGATTACTTATAAAAAAGTTTGAACTATAGAGCATAATTATTGATTTATTATAATCAATTTTATAAATGCATCGCGAACATCTTCCTCATCTTTGTAATCAAAGCAATGTAATAAACTAAACTACCATCTGGATGCAATCAGATCAGCTCCATTCAATTCTAATTTATAATATTTAAGTCATGATATCGGAGCATCTACTGTATTTTAATATTATGTTGCATCAGATAGCAAAGAAAGTATTTGAAGGAAATATAACAGCTATTTCTTTGAATGATAAACTTTAAATTATTAATAAAGTGAGATATATTTTATAATGATTTTGAAATGTTTTGTAAAATAACAAAAATATTAATTTTTAAATTATTTGTATTTGTTAAAACTTCTTACCTTTATCTTAGGTTATTAGTATGGTTTGTAACCGCAGTTTTTTAATTTATGGGGGATGTATATGTTCAATAATGACTTTGATAGATTGTAACTATGACGATGACGAAAAGTTCTGTCAATCAACCAAATTTAATGCGGCGCTCCTACATTCATATAATGGTTGTTTTACAATGGAACTTTAAAACAACAAACACAGTTTTTTACGTGATAGAGCCACGCTGCAGCTATATTATGATTGTAGCACGAATGGGTCGGCTCGACACAGAATACCAACGTAAAATAGCAGCTTGATGCTGCTGTGTTTCGTATGGAAACACAGCAGCATCAAGTGAACCGGAGACCCTTTTAACTGGAAACGAGACATCCCATCATAGTCCTTAGGGGTGACAACGCATTTGCATTTTTATTCTTAATCGAAGATAATTGTAGATGTCTATAGACAACTGCATCCACTTACCATCAGGTGGACTGTGTGCACGTTTGTCACCCCATTCCATAAAAAAAAACCTTGATTTACGTAATTGAATAGTGCATCACAAGTCATTGTTTTTTTATTATGTTATATTTTTCTATTATGGCCATGTATATCACCCATATCATATATTTAAAAAAATACCTTAAGGCATTAACTCTTATTTCAGGTCTCACCACAAACTACATCATAATATTTGACATAGTTACCACGCCAGGCAAGCGGATTGACAATCGCAGTTTCTTATATATTTTTTTGGTTGATTTATTTTCCTCTATAGTCTCTTACGATATTTAGCCATGTAGTCTATACGAGTCTATAAACTACGGGATATTATGTGTTTTTTTCAACATTTCAAATAACATGAATATATTTATAATTTAATATTGGCGGAGAAATTTATATAACGTAGTTGACATTCGACAATATTAAATTATCATGATTTTCGTAAGTTGGTAACGTAAACAAGTCTATGCAACGTCATCGTCTACCTTGTAACAGTCATATTATGTAGCAAAATTCTAGACAGATCTCGTGGCTGAAAAAAGCGGCTTAACTCATATAAGACCAGATGTAGTATATTTAATTATCTAGACTAGAGACAATAAGCAAGAGACAAGATCGCAAGACGGCAAGAACAGTGGTTTTCAGTGACATACTTGGATTAGTTTGGGTGCAAGTTGAAGCATTTAGTGTATGTTTAATTTAAAACGGTTAAAATTTAATTGAATATGGCAATTTTAAAAGTATATCCCGCGTGCGCTGGACGTTACGCATTCGCAAGTCGGAAGAAAAAGCGCAGCTCGGCTGTTAAATCGACTAGCGCTAAAAAAACCGTCATATACGTGAAAATTACTGTTGTAAACATTTAGGCATGTAAATATTTAAATCTCTTGTTATTCTTATCTTTTTGACAGGTATATTTTTGTAAATAACAGCACATGTTTCAAATTGAACCTACGTCATTTGTATTTGTTCATTTCTTACTTAGAGAGCGACTATAGGACACTCGTAAGTCAAAAAACGTTACAGATCTTAATAGATGACGGATAAACACAGATATGTAACTATTTATTTACGCCAGGTGTAAATAAACCTAATAATAATTGTTTGTTGCAGTTTTTTATATATGTTTGTATGCGTATGAAATCTTTTGCACAGCGAGTTAAAATATTTATTTATGTTCAATTTAGCATACCATTACCATTGCATTCTACATTTCATCCATCTCAAAGAATACCAGCGTAAAATAGCAGCTAAATGCTGCTATATTTCGTATGGTGAGAGTAGAGAACCGGAGACCCTTTCACGAAGATGCTTCTGCCTATCTTCAGTTTCAGTTTCCCCCTGTCGCCTCTTACGACACCCACGAGGTGATATGAGGCAGTGGGCATTCTTACACCGCTATTAGATGATTTAGCATTATGATATTAAAATTAGATAAATATAAAAATTTCTAAAAAGTAATGATGTTTCGTGATTAAATTCGACCATAGTAACAATTTCGGAATGACTTTCAAACTTTAAGTTGTATAATTATATTTTACTTTGTGAAATTATTGTGAGATGGAATTAATAGATAAGACTATTCTTATGAATGCTGAGTAATATAAAATTAATGGTTTTGAAGTATTGACGATAGAGGAACTCTAAAAATTCATCATCGTCGACCGATCCTTTCAAAGTATTTAGATTACATTTGAAAAATACTTTTGACCACTCATATTTACGTACTTCAGAAATCTCGAAATTATACGCAGTCAGCGAGCCTTTGCTTGAAAAGATGTTTTCTTATTCAAGAAGTTTTCTTGCCTTTTTACATTTCATTGTTCTCGTTTTTTCCAAGCGGGTTCGTAATATTGCTGATGTAGTGTTAAAGAATAAAAATCAGCAGTACGTAATATTGCTGAAGTAGTGTTAAAGAATAAAAATACGGATATCTCCAAATGTGCGATATGTGACAGTTTGTGCCCTAAAAGTATTTATAACTTTGGCATGACAAGCAAACGAAGTCGGAAAAGCCAACACCTTCTCTGACACTATAACAATGCAGTGGCGTACACGTCTGCCAGGATACTCAACTTAATAATATATACCTTGTGATTTTTCCAAAATGAAAAATTATTAGAATGGGCTATTCCGTGAATATTGTTGAGGAAAACTAAAGGCCGGCCACGCACATTCAAATCCCCTGGTGTTCTAGTTGTTCATGGGCCCGTCGTTTGCCCCCTCTTATAAAAAAATAAAAAAATATATCTCACAGCCTGTAATTTTATAGGCTCTCGATATCCTGCAGACCGGGAATATGTAATAAGGTGTTCTTACTTAAACTGAATACTAGGCAGAAATAGAGCCCTACTGTCTAGAAATAACCGGAAAAACATAATCATTCGGCCTGTTAGCAGATCATTAGTCACCTTATACACTTAATACACCTCGCAAGATGATGAGTATTTAATATTACAGTGGACCCCCGGTAATCCGGCCCCTGTCTAATCCGGCACCCCTGTAATCCGACATGGTCTATTATTTATTATTAAAAATTTTTGGACAATCTTCGCAAATGCATGATTTCAAATATGTCAAACAAAAGAAATTGATAAATATTTTTATGCTTCTTAAATTGATTGATTCATAATTTTTGATTATTTTAGTATGTACGTTTGTTTGTACAGAATTATTTCCTAATGTAAAGTTATTGCATATTTTTTTGTAAGTTCTATAGCATTAATGACGTTAATTTTATAATAAAATGTAAGCTTCCAATTGTGTTGTTTAATTTAGTATAGTATAGACATACATAATGAAGTATAATTTGTACTTCAGAGTACAAATACCTATATATAACATATAGAATCTTATCATTGGATTTGGAATTTGTTCGATTACAAGGTACTCTTTTATTAAATATAATCCCGGACTATAGGGTAGTCTTAGGCAGTACTTATAATCCGACAAATTCGATAGTCCGACACTACCCTACAAAATGTTTTTCGGATTACCGGGGGGGGGGGGGGGGGGTACACTGTATATTATTTTTTTATAGAAAACAATAGTTTTTGACAAAAGAGCCTACCCATTCGTGCTACAACCATAATACTGTTAGACGGTGGCTCTACCAGCTCTACCACGTCAAAGTATTCGTCATTAGTGCTATATTGATTTCAAATATTGTAATGAGTTTATTATGTCAGGAAATTGGTCAAAGTGTAAAAGTTACGATTGGCTTTACCGTTCTTTTCGCTTTGTTTTAATCAATTTGTGGAAAAGTTAAGTGATCGAGAAACGCTTTGTTTCTGTATGCTACTTGTAAAATGAAATGTTTTTTACAGACGAGAGGGCTAACGAACATATGGCTAGCCTGAATAGTAAGTGATGATCTCAACTTCCCTAAATAACACATGCCTTTCCGCCTTTAGACGGTACTTTTACTAATTTAAAAACTTATAAAGAAGTCTTTTTACGTTTTTAAAATAGTAAAAGTATTTTTGACTTGGTAGAGCCATGGTGCAGCTTATATCGATTACTGATGAATTTTTGGCTTGACCGGGGAAGAACAACGCTTGCATAGATAGCAGTGTAAGGCTGCTGTGTTTCGTAGGGTAAGGACAAGAACCGGAGATCCTTTTAACTGGAGACAGCGCAATTTGTCTTGGGTTTCAGAAGTTTCAAAATACTCAGAGTCAGAGCATGGAAGA